CATGATAATTCAGTTTTATCCTAATTAAAGGTATAACTTGTAAACCACACATGTACACACTGCGGACCTATTATTGATACCTGTTTGTGCAACACTGCTAGTAATCCTTGAGTAAGAGGTTTTTCCATGGGCTGCCCTAACTGAAACTCAAGGCGATCTTTAACTGGGGGTGTCTCACCTTTGGAGAGAGCATCAAAGTACCTACAATTCCAAATCAAGACAGCAGAGGTCAATACTGCACATCACCATTTGACTTTAAAATCATGAATTTGTACCCTTTCAAGAAATATTCAGACCCACTCCCAAAGTTTCCAAAGAAAAGCAAGAAGTTACCAGTAAACAGGAATTTCCAGAGGGCAGAGACTTACATGTAAATCCAAAAACCTTCTGTTGGAGCGTATGGATAACAGTAGCCTGTACCAGGCTCTCGGTCAGTGAGATGATTGAAAAAGGAAGTTGGTGAAAGAAACAATCTGCCTCTTCCTTTTTCTCTCCCAGATTCCCCTCCTGTTTCTTTATTGACCATCCTCACTTACCGAGATTAAAAGGCCTGGCAGAATACTGGTTTCTAGCATTAAGTAACCAGCAGTATCAGGGTTCAAAAAAGCCCCAATTTTCAAGTTTGCCTGAAATTAATCCTACTATGGTGCAATAGCCACTAGCCTGTGTTGTGTATAGACATATTATATTTCCTTTCAAACAGAAAAAGACAGCCCAGTAAACAAAACCAGCCTGCTTGACCTGACAAGCAACATTTTAACCATTGTCTGGCCACTACACCTTCCAGGGTACGCGATGCAAGTTTGGAACGTGTGGCTGGCCTATAGAAAACTAAGCTTCACAGACTTTGGAGTTCTGGTAGAATCCCTATCTTATAGGCATCAACCTACCTGTCTGCTTCAGAGATTTTAATAGCATTCGATATAAATTTGTTTAAAAAGATATCATACCGAGGATGTATGTTTTGTCCATATCCTCCTAGATGATTCAGTTATTTATAATTTCCATGCCCAGAGACTGGAAATAAGCGAGATCATCGATCATTTACACCATGCACAAGGTTTAACCTTACATTATTGACTCAAGTCTTAGAAGATGAATGAACTGACACCTCAAGCAATATCGGCAAGAGTCGAGGGACTGTTTTAAAACCATCTCTGTAAGGTTATTATTCCAAATCAAGACAAGACAGAACGACAATCGAGATAAACACTTGCAAGAAAACAAGACTGAAGGACTGACTTACGCGTAGGCCCACTGCAAAACATCCTTCGGTTGTGTACGAATTGCAGCCTTAGTGAACTGTTTAAGAATGTCAGGTAATTCGGGAGGAATATTGATTTGCTGCGAACAATAAATCGGCTCCTCTGGTTGAGGCATAACTCTGGGTTTCAAACAAAATTTGGTGAACTTTCTTTCACCAACTGTTGCACGTCAAAATGGCGGGTGCTAGTTACTATGACGACGACGAGCCGTGTTCCCAGAATGCAATTCGCGAACAGAAAACATTGGAAAAATGGCGCGGTTGTGTTTTTCTGTGACAATGTATTAGGCCTTGTAATAAGTAGATTTTCGTGGAGGCAGAACAATTTTGAATTTATCTTGGTGGTCACTATCTTCTGTTTGAATTTTGGGAAGATTTAGATGCGTTTCAAAGTATGACAGACGATCTTGGTCATCTTGATGGAACTTGAGGTGCCTTCAGCTGCTGTTCATGCAGAAAGTGACGCGAGTCTTAGCAGGACCGACACACCAAGTGATAGCGAAGAGCTCGATCTTTCAGGTTTGGTTGTTATTTTATCCTTTTTCTTCAATATTATATTTTTAATAAAGAAAGAAAACTAGGCATTTTCAGTAGTAAATTATGCAATGCAGTTTTAATTTGATCAGAACATTCTTGAATGTGATTGGTTCTTAACATGCACATTAAATATTTTCACGAGTGATCACACAAATGGGAGAACGAGCGGTTTTTGGTTGATTACGAGCTGCTGTAATCGGACAGTAAACTAAAAAGGTTTTCTGTGAGTAACTTTCACATATCGTGTTCTGCTTATATCACAACATCCATTTCAAGTTGCACACTTTCCACCCCCCCCCCCCCCCCCCCCCCCCCCCCCCCCCCCCCCCCCCCCGCCGCCGAGGAAACTGTAAAAGCTACCAATGATCATTCCCCGACAACAATAGCAAAAAGGGAATAAATCTCAGATGAGAATTAATCATATGTATATATTTATAATATAGNATAGCTAACAATAACAAATTGCTGACTTTCAAACAGGACGGCAGAAAAATGTCATTCCAGGGGTTATCCATATTCCATCTGCATCAGGCAGCAGACCCAAACAAATGGGAATTTCAGTGAAAAGATATTCTTCTTCAGATGATTCTGATCATGGAGAACATGAAAATGCCAACATGTCTGCAGATTATATTCAAGGTTTGTAGTTATAGTGTTGACAACTGACTCCTGTTTGGCAAGTACAAATTATTCATAGATTGCTTATCTCTAAGCCATGGCTGTGGTCTAGGAAAAATTTTGAAAAATCTCCCAACCATGAAATCCTGGGTGTCCAGCATTTAAGCTTTTATGAAAAAAAGTGAGTATTTCCACTCACCCAAAGTCAAAATTTAGTTGCCTGTGGCACCCGGGCACTTCTAGAGCACAGCCCTACTCCAAGTTGAGTGTTCTTTGTGAGTTGTCTCTGAAAAATATTAACGTGGTGGTTTTGAATACAAAGTGGTATCAAGAGACGTTCAAAGCTAGCTGTGTGATAAAATGAAAATCAGATTACTTTGTCTGCACTGAAATTAAACCAGTCTGATCACAGTTTTTCCCGGGCACCATCTTGAATTAGAAACCAGTCTGTCTCGATCTGTTACTTTGTAACTTGATCTGTTACACTGTTACTTAACTAAAGTTTTACTTTACTTTACTTTGCTTTGTGCAAGGTGTAGTATGTGTTACTAAAGGGAAGCTGTATTTGTCTTTTTCTGAAGCGCAAAGCTGTATTTTAGTGCCAAATTTGTTGGATGCCCTAAAAGATAAAAATATGCAAAGGAGAACTCACCAAGTAAATTATGTTTTGAGAAATTTTCCTGTGAAATGGAAAGTAAAACGTAGTGTAAGTTTAATTATTATCTAAATATTAAAAAAATATATATTAACCAAAATGGTGAGTGATTACTGGTTTGCACTTGCCTCATATAAGTGTTTCCTGTCAGTAATAAACATATAGGGACTGATCCTTATGATCCCTGGGAACAAACTTCACCCTTACCAAGTATGTAATGTGTTCACTTTAATCAGGTTTAGCTCCACCTGAGGTATTGTTAAAAAACTACAGGAGACAAGCAAAGCAATTTGCCACAATGGGAGACGAGAGAGCTGTGTATGATCGTGTTCGTTGTGTAGCTTTGACTAGAATTGTGTACGGAGATAATCACTGGAAGTTGGCAAAAGCTTACTCCAAGCTGTCCCAAGCATATCTTGAACAAAGAGGTGTGTACAGACAAAGTAAATTACAGGACAGTTAGGTAGAATCTTGTTAATTCAACCAGTATTAAATGAACAGCTGGTGACTAAAATCTGGCTGGAGTTATTTTGAGGTTACATGCAAAGGGCACTTAAAGGAGCTGTATCATATTATAAGGCATTTTTTGATGATTGTACAAAATTGATTGTAAATAAATAGGGTGAAGCCTAGTTTCATAATGTTACACTTTTGGTTCATTTCATTGCTCAAAGTATCCCGAAAAGATGTTACTTTCTTGTACATTCTAAAGTGTAAATTCTGTAATGCATATAGCAGTACTTTATTACTCCTAAAGGCTAAAAAAAGTGTTTATAAAACATAGTTTAACAGCGCTTTGACATCTATTTAAATAGATTCCAGGTAATTGATCACAGATGATGTCAAAATGTGTTAAGAACAAAATAGTGGAACACGAGTTGATAGCTGAGTTGGCACTGATTTTCTAACCACTTTTTGACGTCTTCTTTGACCGATTACTTAATATGAAGGGAGCCAAATATATGTTAAATGACATCATCTATGCATCCATCCTCCAATTGATCATAATTAAGAACCAATCAAAATGCAAAAGGAATGTGGTGTATTATTTAATGTACATTGTACATAGAAAATAATTTCAAAAACGTTGAATGTACATGATGACAGAAGTAATGAAAGGGGGATTAAATCCCTTTCTACATTTTCTACATATTATCAGGTTTGGCTCAACAAGCCCTACTTCATGCTGGGAATGCCCGTGATGTATTGCTTGCAGCAGATGCTGCCAAACAACAAGGGAGACAGGTTTATGATAAATCTGATGTGTTACCTGTCATGGAGTTAATTTATCTCATTATGGGACAGGCGCATGTTGCCATGAAGAAGTAAGTAAGAATTAAAAAGGTTTTTTAGTTGTTAGAGTCCAATCTTGTGACATTTTTACATCCTATCAGGGGAACAGGGATGGCATAGTGGTTAGTGAGAGTACTTCCCTCCCATTGATGTCGCCCAGATTCCAATCCTTGACGTAGGTTTAGTTTGTAGTTGGTTCTCGCCTTGCTCTGAGGGTCTTCCTCCCGGTTCTCTGGTTTTCCTCCCTCCACAAAAACTGGCACTTCTAAAATTGTTCCAACTCAATCTGGAAACAGTGGGCAAAGAGTCTCTCCATGGGATGTGCCACTGCAAATTCCTGTTAATTTTTTTATTTATCTATTAATACACCGATTCTTCTTCCCCTGACCATTTGTTTGACTGGTTGTATATTCAACACTGTTCTAAATGTGATACAGTTGGAGGTGTATTGTCTAATGTTTAGTGAGCTTGACTCCTGTTTGAGTAGTCTGGGGAGAGCACTGGTTGGGTTCATTGTGTTGCATTCTTAAGCAACACACAGTACCTATCTCTACCCTGGTATATTAATGGTTACCAGGGTAACCTGGTAATGAAGTAGCATCCCATCCAAAGAGGATTGGAAATACAATATATGTTATGCCCTTCCCTACCTCATGCAGGTTTAACCTTTCTAAACTGTTCTTCTACTACATGTTGGTATTGACTGAAACACTGACAGCTGCTCTCAACAGTTAATCCTCTTGATTTAACCTACCCCTTAAGGCATCTGATTTTACAATTCATGGAGCTTACAAAATATAACTTTACTAGTCAGACTCTGTCCATCCTTCACAGCACCCAGAAAGCAGAGCACAGTTTAAAGAAAGCAGAACTAGTATCAAGAGAAAGAGAGGAACTGGGGTTTAAGTATCAAGACCCAGACAGAAGGCTTCAAATATTGATGTCTCTTGGTCGTGTCAGCCTTAAGGCACATAAACCAGGGTATGCTCTGGAGACTTTTGAAAAGGTATTATTTGACTGTAATTAATTAGTTGATGCATTTTGTAATGATAACTGATTTAAATAAAATTTGAAACACATGAAGAACAGACAGGTCCAGAAATGAACTTGCTTATGCTGATTATTTTGTTTGGTCCCAGACCTCCAATGTTACAGTGTGTGTAAATTTCTAGTCAACAGCAAGTTATGGTTGTGGGATTCAAGACCTCCTTCCTGACTTAAGTGCTGTTGGATTTGGTCTCAATAGTCCTGAGTTCAATTCCTTGACTATGTTTTGTAAATAGCCAACTGGACAGCCTTGCAACACAGAATACACAACTACGATTAATTATCCGCCATATATATATATCCCCCTTTTTTGGAGCAAAAAATTTATAAAGCCACTGGTGACATTTTGTCATCATTTGTTTACTGTATATTTGCAGGCACTGGAAGTTGCTCAGAAACATTATGGAGAAGACAGCAAAGAACTGATTCCTATTTATCAATGTCTTGCACGAGCAGAAAGCAGTCAAGGTGATGCATCCAGTCATGAAAGGGCAACAAAACTTTTTTTGCAGGCTCATGACATCAGTAAATTAAGGTAAATCATCAGCATCTCAGAAATAAAGACTTTGAAATTGTTTTCTTATTTTGTGTATTACTGCTTAGAAATGATGAATTAAGCTTAAGAACTCTAGTCTACTGTGATTCACAGTGAAACCTTAGAGAAAACGACGTTCATTGTCTACAATCATGGTCAAAAGTCTTGGGACAAATTTGCACTTGTGGCGCTTTTTCACACGCGCCAAACAAACAGTCACGCGTGAATTCAACTACACTTGCTCAGCCCCTCCCCCCACCCCACCTACAATGTTGAACATTTCTCCAGGGTTTCAACATTGTATGGGGTGGGGGGCAGAAACGAATTTTGAAAAGGATAAAAGTGCTTTTTCAAACTCCGTTTTTAAAGAACAGATAATTCATGCAATGATGCAAGTGTCCCAAGGAATTTTGTCCACCATTGTAGTTTCTAATGTAATGGGGGTCATTAGTGCAGAGTGCACTATTGGGATGGTTTAGGGGGCTGCTGTTTGCTAAGCTACTAACACAATGAGGTGTAAACTTTAATGTTTGTTTAATTAATTAATTTCAGTTAATTAATTAACATTGTGATAAGGAGGTGGGGTAGGTACCTCTGTTTACTATGTAAAACGTATCATACTTACGTTACTTTGTGATAACGTCACAAACCTATATATGTTTTCGCAAATCTCTTGCTATCCTAGTGGTGCTATTCTCTTAAGAACAAAATCAATTTTCTTGAAACGCATGCGCAGATAACTTAGCCTTCAGTGTCTAGTTCTGGCCCTCTCTCTGTCACGCAACGCCACTGTAGCGTTGCTTGACAGAGAGAGGGCCAGAACTGAACTATTTTGACCAGGGACAGCAGCTGTATTTCAGGTAACGTCAGTTCTCCCTTTTCTAGTGTAAATAACGCTACTGTGACTGCGTATCATCTGGAATCACCCTTAGCTCGATTCAAGAAATGTCGTCAGCTGTTTTATGTATTGCGTGTTTGCCAGGGTTCAAATAAAGAATGCTTCTGCCTAGCGGCTTGTCTATTTCAACTTCTATGAAGGGAGCAAAAAGTTTATATTCAGCCGAAACTTTCCCGCGTTAGTTACATGTAAAACTAATAAATTTGTGACACAAGAACTTCGCAAATATTGCCGCAGACTCCGTGGCACTTAATGAAACCGCCAATTAATATCATCAGTCTCTGAGGTGACTCTCTCACCGATGTAGAATATAATTTCGGTCTCTACCTTCAATACTACTCGTTGAAACGCCCCTAGTCTGCTCCTCTGTTGTATTAATCGATAGCATTGTATTTTAGTTTGACGTGAATAAGAACGAACTATTCCGTGACTGGACGTGACTACTTGATAATTAGATTAGTTCTTGTTTTTCTGTGAAATGAAAATTTCCGTTTGGAGTAAAACGAAATCGTCCCTCTTCGATTTTTCATGAGATATTTAGCGTTATTCCATTTATCTCCAGCAGTAAGTAAAAAAATACACATCCTTCTTATATTTTTAGTTTTAAATTTATCACACTATTCATAGCACATCGTTTAATTTATATTACTCATATGGTTTGTTAGGCGCATTTGATCATATTCACATGTTAATTTGCGCCTTAGAAATATTAATTATTATTATTATTATTATTATTATT